GGGTGGGAGTGACAGTAGGGGGTGGGACTGACAGTAGGGGGTGGGAGTGACAATAGGTGGTGGAAGTGACAGTAGCAGGTGGGAGTGACAGTAGCGGGTAGGAGTGACAGTAGCGGGTAGGAGTGACAGTAGGGGGTTTGAATAAATGTTGGAATGATTTATTCTGTAATTTTAGTTTTCAGACAGACCCAACTATCCTCCACCTGCAGTATAAGAGTAGGTCTATGATAGGGGGGGGGGGGGATGTTTATATGAAGAAGGAATGCTAATAATAGAAAAAGTCCAGGAACATACTTGTAATATAATCACTCACACCTAACTGAAGAGATTCGACTGGTCATTTATGTGATCCCTGGACCTTGTCATTTCTAACATAGGTGATTGGACTGGTCATTTATGATATACCTATCCCTTGTTATTTCTATGCAGCTTAACAACAAATTTTCAAAAATATTCATGTTGTTTATTTTTTAATGAGCTGGATTAGTAATAAAAAAAACCAGTGTGCTGTGATAAATTAGTTGCTTCAGAGATGTTGAGACCTTGTCATGAGATTTTTTTTCTGAAGTCAAGAAATACAAATAGGTTAAAAATAGTTATACTGTGTATAAGTTGACTAATCGGTAAGGTATTGGTTTTTACCTGGTCAGACAGATATGATGGATGACAGATGACCAAGCTTTAGCTAGCTAGTTCACCAGTTGGGTGATGATCCTATCAGCTAGCTACAACCCAGGGCCTTCCTCCCACCACTTAGCTGCTACATACAGTCACAATGTGTCCTAGTTATCATCTATCTGTTGTCAACTTCAACTGAAACGTGTAATGTCTAAACAAATATTCTTCTATCCACTGATTCAACCAAACATTGCTGACCAAACAAACAGAGACAGGTTTCTGTACCAATATTGTCAGTCAACAGTTTGTGATTTTTTTGTGACTTATTAAAATTTTGGTCTTGTATTTAAAATTTAAGATGCGAATATAATGGACAAGTGGAAAGAAAAAAATCAGTAAATATTATTTTCAAAATAAATATATATTCAAGATATGTGATTATATTAAATACCAATAATGTATATTGATATTTATATACTATAAATTGTAACTGTGACTTATGTACATACAGATATTAGCTCAGATGTTTCAAAGAGTAAACTTGAATCAGAAAAATCTGTATATATTAAATATACACAAACTATTAGATCTTGATCCAGGTTTCCAATATATAGGCCAAGCCTTTAATGGGATTATTGGATGATAAGAATTTTATTCTATTGTGGAATTTGAAATTTGTCCAATTGATGATTAAATTGCTGGCTTCAATATGCTATTTTTAGATATTTAAAATCTGGTCACACCATAGCCCCAGGTACAGGTAGTAGTACATGTAGATCCTGATAATTCTCTGGACAGCTATGTAGGCCAACCTCCCACTGTCTTACCTGTTGTCATCACCTGGAGGAATTCAGGTGTGTAATATACACATTTATCTACCTGTAAACACTCGCAGTATGTTTACCAGCAGTAAACAACCTAGTATACACGGTCTGTATATCAAGGTAAAATACATCCAGCGTGTCAGTTTTAAAAACTAATTCACTTTTATTTAGGGATCATGTGATTAGTTGGGTTATGTCTAGTTTACTCTAAACAAACGATTCTTACACTAGTGTATATAGGTAGATAACAAAGGGAAGGTACACTATAGATACCTCGGTCCTTAACAGAGCTAGCTGATAACCAACGTGGGCACATGGCACAAAAATAAACACATTACCATGTTCACAGAAGACATGTGTACTTGCATGATAATATTTTTCATAAGCATTATGCCACTGAACAAGTTTTGTAGCATGAAATTGTCGAACAAGTTTTCAAGAGATTGTTCCAAAATATTCCAGAAGGATATTACATCATGACTTACATATAAGTAGCTGTCACATGTTCTAAACTAATTGCATTGTTCATAGGATTATTGTTCAGTGACAAAATATTTGTTACATGATTGTGACATTTTTCTCCTCATTTGACTTGTAAATTAGCAGAATATATTGTGCTGATTAAACTAAAAGTATTCTGGTTTTATGTAAACTACATGCATTTTACACAAATCAAGCTAGTGCTATTTGTGAAACCATGTGTTCTAAATAAGAAAGGAAACACAAAAGGAAAAAAAAATGTTATTGCAACTGTGCATAAAAATCTGATGAAGAAAATCTGACCTACTTGAAAAATGTTTTTATTTGAACCGTTAGATATGTCTTACCTGCTAGGAGAGCTGGCACTCATGAACTGTGATCAATTATTGATGTGAGATACCTGATTGAGATGTATAGCTTTACTTTATACAAGTAATGGATTTAGGTTATAGACTGAGTTAATGTGGCTTTTAAATCATATTAAAAATAATAAAAAAGTATTTTGATGATTCCCAGTTGGAAACCTTGTGATCAGTAATTCACATTCCTTTATTTACACCATGGTCTGTTGACCTTTAGGACAGCTAGCCTGTAGGATCACAGACTGGCTGGAGACCATGGTCTGTTGACCTTTAGGACAGCTAGCCTGTAGGATCACAGACTGACTGGACACCATGGTCTGTTGACCTTGTAGTTCAGGACAGCTATATATAGCTAGCTATATAGCCTGCAGGACAACAGACTGACTGGACACCATGGTCTGTTGACCTTGTAGTTTAGGACAGCTATATATAGCTAGCTATAGCCTGCAGGACAACAGACTGACTGGACACCATGATCTGTTGACCTTTAGGACAGCTAGCCTGTAAGACAACAGACTTACTGGACACCATGGTCTGTTGACCTTTAGGACAGCTAGTCTGTAGGACAACAGACTGACTGGACACCATGGTCTTTTGATCTTTAGGACAGCTAGTCTGTAGGACAAAAGACTGACTGGACACCATGGTCTTTTGACTTCAGGACAGTCTGCAGGATGACTATGCTTCTTTATAATTCCTATTCAATTGAAATAAGAGGATTGTCATATTGATCAAGTTATCATCACATAATTCCTGACACCAAAACCTGGTGTGAGTGACTGTTTGGCCACTCTATGTCCCTTGTAAGCTTGTACAGAAAGGCTCCTTCATGTCTGATACGAACCTCATATGTATCATGGTGTGTACTGCGAGTGCAGGCCATTGGGCTGTGGCTTTTAGTGGTCGTGATGGAGGGAGTACTCTCAGGATACATCGTATGATTATAGGCTCGCTATGTTCGTGTAAATTATTGATACTCGATGTCCTGATGTTATGAATTATTGATGTATTTAGAGTTTGCCCCCACGCTATTGTGGCCTGTTGCACTTGAAGCCAAATATTTGACCTCTATCACTCAAGTGGTTTCTTGTTTTGAATAAAAAGAATATCTCTTCATAACCTTGTGCAAGGTTGTCTGTCTTAGTCATTTATATACATTGTTGCACTATTCGGTAATTCTCAATCATTGCAATATGAAATGACCTTCAAATATGTTTACAGCATTAAGTGCATGACCTTCAAACTTTGTTACATATGAATTATCTTTGAACTTTATTGCAGTTTTAAATAATTTTTGAACACAGTCACATTTAACAACCAAACATGATCTTCATTGGCATGTCTTCATTGCTGTTTTGACATCTCTGCAATGTAATATCAGATCTTAGAGCATATGCATTACTATAATTGTAAATGATTTATTGTTACAAATTGAAATAGCTGTTAACCCTGAACTGCTGCTCTAATTGTATGTGTCTGTAATTTCAGGAGTGTGAATTCCATGGTGTTGTCCGCTTTTACTTCCAAGATGGGGCCAATGTTGTCACCAAGTGTATCCGTGTGGCTTCCTCGGCCACGGCCGGAGAGGTCATCGAGGTCCTGGTGGAGAAGTTTCGACCGGACATGCGCATGCTGACCACCAATAAATATTCTCTGTTCGAGGTTCACGCTAATGGAGGTACAGGAAACATCACATGTATTGTACAAAACTCTGTAATCCGTAGAAAGTAGATCTTGTTAATTGATGAAATATAGTCTTAATAAATTTCTGTTTAAAACATAGGTTTATGTCCCAAGTCTAATATCTGAATGACACTTATACATATCTGTGTAAGGTAGTTAGGGGGGGGCAATGAACTGCCCTGTTTATATAGGACTTCTACAAAGCATACCTACTGTCAGGTACACATGGCTCAGTAATACACACTACACAGTAATTAACTCCCCTCAGGAATGCTGGATAAACACTAACAATAGAGGGTTTTATGGTCATTGCATTAGGAACAATTCAGTTGATGGTCTATATACACCTATATAGCTAGCTCATAGTGTGTACTTGCGATCTAATGACCAGACTTTTTTGTAACAGGTGTAGTAATGACCATACCGATTTGTTCGTAATTTTGGTGAGGCACACTTTATTTACTTTAACATGTTTGAAGAAACTACATCAATGCTATTTGTAACAATATAATCCATCAGTGATCTTGCTGGGATATTGAATAGTCATGTCTGATAATTGTAACTGTGAAAAAAGAAAAATTAGAAAATATTAGCAGCTAAACTGTTATTGTTTTTTGGAACATTTACCACAGACATCACCCTTGGTTATGGACATGAGTACTGACATGGGATAGACTGTATATACAAACCCAGGACAGGATAGATAGTTTTGGAATTGTTTAATAAACAGTTTATGTGATTGGTGCACATCTGTGCCTTTTTAGTCCATGAAAAATGACAGAGACTGGGCAGTATCTATGAGAATAGGATACTGGCTATTGTGGTCCTGACCAGATACTTTACAGGGTATTAGGAGCTACATAGACCTTGGCCTGATGCCACTAATATGTTTATGATGATCATCTGGTCAATGAGCATGAAGGCCATAACATGTTTCCTCTGGAAATTTTAACAGTTTTAGTCGGAATGAGGTAGTGGAGGTAGTGGAGATCGTTGGGGAGTGTTACTAAATTGTTTTACAATGTAACTGCTTTATTAGACAAGATCCATCAACGACTGGTCAGAACTGCCCACTCCACAAATCATTAATCAAACCTGCCCACTGCACATTCTATTGAATATCAGAAATGACAGATTCAAAATCTATTGGGGTATACACAGTACAAACTCTGTAATTTATTTGGGGTTTAAGAAGTACAAATAGCCACTGGTCAAAAGTGCCCACACCACAATCTGTTGATGTACACAGTACAAATAGCCACTGGTCAAAACTGCCCACAGGGTACAAACCTAAGATTCAATCTTTGGTCAAATCAACTCTACAAATGATCACTGGTCAAAACTGCCAACTCCACCATCTGTTGGGGTATATAATCATAGTTCTGGTACATGTACATGTATAGAATCAGTGGTCAAAACTGCCAACTCCACCATCTATCAGGGTAATTAACCCTGCTTATAATTACTGGACAAAACTGCCCACTCAAAGATCTGTTGGCTATATAATCAATGGTCAAAACTGCTCTCTTTTCCAATCTGTTTTGGTATACGCAGTACAATATTCACTAAATAGTACTTGTATATAGTTAGGGTTTACTAACTCCTAATGTGACATCTTGGCTTTACACCTCTAAGTAGATGTCCTTTAACGCGTAGGTATGTGAGGAATGTCGGCCCAGTTACGGTGTGGTATATACCATAGGTGGGTAGAACAGACTTTTGTGTCTTATGGCTGTTTATTGTCTCCAGATTAGCTCTGGGTTGGAGTGGGGAGGTGGAAGATAACCTCCGCCACCATTATCAGGCCTGGCTAATTGACCATGGCTATTATTATCTATGTTTACTTTCCACATTCCATAAACATGTCATTTATAATTGCAGTAAATAGCTATTGTTTTGATCGCCAAAATTGTTGTAAAAAAAAATAGGAAAACAAAATTCAGTGAGAAAAAAGAAATAACCTAAAAAAAAATAACCTTATGAAAAAGAATAAAGAAGAAAAATATGTAAAATTCAACTTCTTGCATCAGATGGAAAATGCATTTTGTTGTATGTATTGTTTCTATGCTTATATGTATTGAACCTGTTTTGAGGTGCCAAGGAGAGTTGTATCTCCCTAATTAGCTGTAAGATACCTGGTATAATATCAGCAGCTGTATCTGGGTAATTGACAGGTCCCCTGGTCCAGGTAAAAATGAGGACAGGTACCTGACCTTACCTACATCAGGTGTATACATTGTATATATACTATATGTATCTCTACTTACCCTGAACTGCCAGTGTTGGCCTACGGGCTGAACCCCGTACAACACCACTCATTAAAATACCATACATGTATCGTTACTGAATGAACATTTTATTTCACAGCCATCAGGTCAATAACATTTTTCATTGCCCTCCGTGATGTTTTACGACATACACTATAATGTTGTTAAACGCTAAATTGATAGAACAGCCAGAACTGGGTTAAAATGTTTGTTATAGGTATATGCTGTATATTAGCTGAAATACCGATATTATGACTTTCAGATGATTTGTGTCTAAATTGGATGGTGTTCTACTTTTATTAAATATCATATTGAAAATTAAAAGGAACGATATATTCAATTTGCATAAGAGACAAATTAAAAGGAACTATATATTCAATTTGTGAATGTTTAAACACATTATTTCCCAATCTTCTATAACATCATACGTCTGATATACTTTTTGCTTTAACCTAATTAAATACTGACCTAGTTTTAAACTGACCTAATTTCAGAGCAGGCCTTCCTGCTATTTCTCAGATACAGTGACCTTAGTTCAGGTGACAACTTTACAGCAGCAATTTACTTTCTAAATTCTTCTGCACATGTTGTTAACTGTTAATCATTTGAAAATAAAATATGGTGATTACTTTGTTACAGAGGACCGGCGGATAGCATTTGATGAAAGAATCCTGTATGTTCAGCTTACCTGGGGAAAGGATGTTCGTGAGGGCCGCTTCCTTATGCGACGTGAGGTAGGTCTGCACCACAAAACATGGGGGCACCCTCAATGAGCTCAGAAAAGTCACTTCTTCACTGCTTATTTTACAATTGACAAATTTCTGCAATAATATGAAATATAATTCTGTATATTGCACGTAGAATTTTAGATTCGGCTGTTTACATGTCAACACAATGGTGTAAGCCGATAGTCTCTAAAATTAACTAGGACAAATGGAATTAACGAGTGTTAGATGTATGGTTTGTCAGACTTCAAACAAGAAATCAATCTTGTACAGTAATTGACTTCTACTTCATCTTCATCTGGTTTCGTTCAACGAAATCTTACACAAACAAGTTGAGGAATATTTAATTTTTGTATTTACTGTTACAATATACTGGTATTAGCATATAGATTACTGCTGTATGTTTAGATTATAGGTAAAGTATTGATGCGTACACGTCTAGACTTTCAGTGTTCTACATTGTAAAAACATATTGGAAAAAGCTCGGAGGATAATTAGCACAGCACATTATTACTGTGTTTAGCATTGACCTGTTGTTTATACACTCTTTATAACTTCATTCTGCTCTGTTTGAGCTTTACTAAACAGTATTGAACTGAGAGCAGATATTGATTCTGTTTTGTTACAACTGTTTTACCGTAAATAGCCTGGTGATGGACCAAATGCATCATCAGCTCTGGTAGAATACTTGTCTGCAGCAGTTTTCTGTAAAAAAAATTGTTTTAAATCTTGTCGCTAATGGCATCTTGTATGTGGTAAAATTTGATCTTAAAGCGCTTTAGTTAGAAAACCTAATGTCTAAAACATCATTGATTTTTTCCCTAATGTTCTGTGTAAAACAATTTAATTTGAATGAAATTCCTTGACCTTTAACTGGTATTTTGGGCTGTAATTCAGGGAAACTACGTTTAGTAAGGAAATGAAGGGTTTTGTTACTGGCTTACTGTTGGTAATTCTCCTTAGGTAACTTATTATGTGAAAAAAAGATTAATATTTAAACTTTACACTTTATCTTGTTATTTTCTGTTGACCTAATTTGTGGTTTTATGAATTTGAGACAAAACACAAGCAGCCTGTGAATGTTCGTATCGGTATAACTTTAGCATTCTTACGTTTATTATATTTTTTGCTGATTATCGGAAAAATATTTTCTTAACATAATACTGAAAAAGAAAGTATCTGTAACATGTTGTAAGGCATACCGATGAGTTCTGTTCTGTTTTAAGTAATAAATACTGCTGTTTTTGATTTCAAAGAGCTGGTGTAATTCTAAGTTTTATTCATGCTAAAGGGTGCAGAGGTCATTGTCCCGGAGGAGAAACAGCAGTTCAAGCGAAATCTTTCGAAACGGGAGAAGAAGGAGAAGAAGAAACAAGATAAACAGAACAGAGGAAAGGAGAACAAGGGGGCAGCAGAAAAACTATATTCTGATATGCCGGAGACCAAGTTTACCAGGAGTATATCCAATCCTGATGCTGTGATGCGTCGTCGACGGCAACAGAAAGTTGAGAAAAAATTACAGCAGTGTCGGGACAAACATGGACAAGGTATGTATCATTAATTTAGAAAGAAATTTTAATCTTTTTTTGCTGCTGTCTTGAAATTTCCATTCCATTTTCCATTCCCTCTCTCCTTTCTCTCCTCAAGGTTAATTTTCAAATAGCTAGTTATAGATTAAAAAAACCTTCAAATTTTTATTAAAAAAAAGAAAACATTTAACGGAGAAGTGTTTGCCAATTTCGTGTTCCAATTGCCGTGTAAACTTTGTAGACATCACTTGAAATGTTTGGAGTATCAGGACAACAAGGTTGTGTACCCGTTACCATCAATAAATGTAACGTATCTCGGATACCAACTCATTTTATGATTTTAGTATCTCAAGTAGTCCTCCTTTACAATTACAATGAACCATCACATACTCATGATTTCAAAATCATTTTCTGACTGGATTTTAAAGAATTGACTGTTCAATACAATGTTTGTTAATTTGCTGGAGGCTGAAATGGCTTTTCGGCAACAGAAATTCATTAAAATCCAGGTTGTGTTTTACACGTCTGCAGGATTTCTGTGACAATCTAGGAACATCAGTCTTTAAGTAATTGCTGTATTTATCCTGCAGTAAGCATAGTGGTGCTAACATATTCTCTGACTCAAAATAGGTGGTAGGCTGATAACAGGATAATGAAATAGTATTTGTTGGCATTTTTAATGAACGGCAATAGATATGGGTGGGCTTATTACCAAGCACAGGTTTATTGTATTGTGTTTTTCTGTTCCTCTGTGATGTTTTATGGTGTGGTGTCTTGAACCCCTATAAAGATCCTGTCAGCATGTTCCTGTCCAAGGTTGTATATCTCACTGTCTGACTGAGGTCTTGCCGTTGAGATCCTGTCAGCCTGAACCTGTTTGAGGTAGTGTTATCCCTTTCTGATAGATCTTGCCGCTGAGATCCTGTCAGCCTATCCCTACTCAAGGTTGTGTATTTCCCTGTCTGATAGATCTTGCCGTTGAGATCCTGTCAGCCTGGTCGATGTTGTGTGTTTACCTGTGATTACTCTATAACTTGGATACCTCCTGTCTATCTGTCTGTGATTAGCCCTAGACATGTGAACCTACCTAGATTTGTCCCTGTCCTATCTCCAGCAGGTGTTTGCCTGACAGGAGGAGATAACCTCGTCAGTCCTTTCTTATCCCCTTACAAGGACCGAACAGGGCTCTAATCTGTCCTCATCTTACGACCCAAGGAGGGACCATTAGTTCACGTAATCGTGGAAGGGGTGACCTCTTGGGGAGGAGATTTGTTGTTCAAAGGAACATCTTATTAGAACAATCGTGTGGAATTAGTATTTGACTGTCTCCTCTATATTGCAAGATGTTGGCCTTTCATTTTTAGCTCACCTGGCACGAAGTGCCAAGTGAGCTTATGCCGTGGCGCGGCGTCCGTCGTCCGGTGTCAATATTTTACTTTAAACGACTTCTTCTTAATAACCGAAAGGCCTAGGGTGTCGATATTTGGCCAGAAGCAAACTGGGATGAAGGGCTACAAAGTTTGTTAAAATTAATGACCTTCACCCATTTTCAAGGTCACAGGGGTCAAATATGTTAAAACCTTTAAACAACTTCTTCTGAATAACCAAAATGCCCAGGGTGGTGATATTTGGCCAATAGCATGCTGAGATGAAGGGCTACAAAGTTTGTTCAAATGAATGACCTTCACCCATATGCAAGGTCACAGGGGTCAAATATGTTAAAAACTTTAAACAACTTCTTCTCAATAACCAAAATGCCCAGGGTGATGATATTTAGTCAGTAGCATACTAGGATCAAGGGCTACCAAGTTTGTTTAAATGTATGACCTTGAATCATATTCAACGTCACAAGGAGCAAATATGTTCAAAATATTTAAACAATTTGTTCTGAATAACCAAAAGGCTCAGGATGTTGATATTTAGTCAGTAGCATGCTGGGATCAATGACTACTTTGTTTGTTAAAGTGAATGACTTTGACTTATATTCAAGGTCACAGGGGTCAAATTTGTTTAAAATCTTTAAACAACCTCTTCTGAATAACCATGGGTGCCAGGATGTTGATACTTTACAAATTGCATCCTGAGATGAAAGGCTATAAAATTTGTTCGACTTTCAATCACAGTGGTGAAATGTTTTTAAAAAAAATTAACAGGGTCTTTTGAATGAATTTTAATCATAAATACTGATATTTTGCCTGTAGCTTTATTTTAGATCACTTTTAAGGTAACAAGTGTGAGATTTATACCAGGTGAGCAATGCAGGCCCATTGGACCTCTTGTTGTTGTTGAGATCTACAAACAAGATATCTGACAGTAGTAAGCTGTACTTCTATATCATTTCTATGGGGTTGGACCTACAACAGTGAAAGGGGCAACACTGCACATTTTCTCAATAGAAAACGTTATAGTCTGGAGAGAGGGAGGTTCTAGGAATTTTATTATTGTTGCGCAAATAGAAGAACTGCTATGAATTTAGAAAAATAATATTTTTGCCGGTAATATTCTGTTCTGTTAAATTGAACTTGAATTGACAACAAAATATTTTTTTCAATATTGTATTAATTTTCGATAAACAAGTTGAAGTTACATAAGGATTGTATTTTCTGATGTTGTTGGTCTGTGATGTAGTCTCTTGGTCTCCTTGTTTAAATCACTTACTGGTCTAACATGACCACATTATCGTTTTACACATTTGTTTGGATGTAGAAAAACCTGCAGGCCTAAGAACACATAGTGCTCCTTCTATCTACTAAATCAGTGTATTGAGTAATTGGATAAAGGAATACATCTCTACAAAGGGAGGTAATTAGATGTAACAATGAAATAACGATGTGTGTGTCACTGGACTCCATTGTGCGGCTGTGGTCCCGTAATAGCTTGTTGCTGTTGTAGACATGTCTAGCCCGTCAGATAAAACATTTACCAGTCACTTATATCTTAATTACCAGTGATAAAGGGAAAATTCAAAATAAACATCAGCTTGTACGTGGTTGACTGCAAAGCTAAATTACTAGGCTGTCTAAGGGATAAGATTGGGCAAATTTATATCGCAGGCCATACACAGGATAAGATGTAACAATTGAAGATGGCAGTGTTATCAATATGGACTGATTTATTAGGGATGAGTGATGGTGGAGAGACAGTGAGGCTAATTGTGTTGTTGTGGTTGGAGGAGAAATCTATGTTAAGCTAGTGGGCATTGTGTTTAGTCTCAGCTTTTATAGCTTTTCCATTATTTTTCTCTTTGATGAAGGATATTATGGGATGGCAGTGGTTGTTGCTCTTGCTGGCTGATGACTGCAATCTCATTTAATTGTGTTATCATAAATAGATTTACAAATTTAACACAATATGTATGTTCAGTTGATGGGGAACACTGAACCAGATTTATCTCACGCAAGTCCTCTCCCGATAATGTTGTTTTCCATTATAAGTGGTGATAACTCAATTTGTTTGTAACATTGGTGCAAAGACCAGTGAGTTGAAAGCAAATTCCAATGAATATTTATAACCTGTGAAGTTGTTCCAGAAATAGCTTCCAGTTTTTGCGGACAATGAAAGTGGGAGTTTTTTTGTAGGAGCACTACCGCAGAATATTTTGTAGTGTATATATTTTTTTAAAAGAATAATGAATTTGTTTTTTGCAGTAAAGTAGTACCCTAATGGAAAAATTAAAAATAACAGTATTTTGAGGGATTATTATGTAACAAAGAAGATAAAAATATTAATTTTGAAATATCTTGTTTGAAGAAAAAATGAAAAAAAATGTTTTGCTCTGAAAAAGTTGTTGATGCTGTGTGAAGAATCAAGTGAGAGTTGTGTTTTGTACTGTTTGTTATCCTTGTTACCATGGTAATTAGACACAAGCTGTGGTAATCAGGTGAAGAGGATGTCTGAGGTTCCACTAGGCACCTTAGTGTTAGACACCGCCAGTGTATATAGAGTCAGAGGTCAATGAGGTCACTTCCTGGCAGGTGATAATGTGATTACTTTTCCTGTACACAGGAAGTAGATAGAGGGAGACTAAGGGCCAGCGGATGACACACATACATCACACCTGTGTGTGGAGAAGTGCAAATGATGTGGGTTGCTTTACTTCATGATGTCAAGGCCACCTGAATGATTTTAAATGAATGCTGTATTCATGTCTTTATAAAAATGATAAAATATTCATGAAGGCCAGTATTATAACTTTATGTTACAAAAAGAAAATCCTAATTTTTTTCACTGCAACAGGTGAAATTTTCTAGTCAGGATACAGTGGTCTCCAGTTAGAAATGTCTGAAATAGGATAGATATTGATTCCCTAAAGAAGCTTGCTCCCTTGATATAACATTCGGGAAGCCGAGTTTTCCACATATCTGAATCCAGATTAAAGGAACTGACATCTTGCTGTGTACACTAGTTGATTTGTAGATAAAGATGTTATCTTTTAATGCATTGATACAGGGTATACATACAGGGTAAAAATACATGTAAAATGATGTTAACAGGTATTTGTACTGCAAGTAAACAATAGGCCCCAGTAATAGTGCCAATATCTGTTACTTATATTGGATCAGTGAACTATTGTTACACCTTACTTAACATGCCATTACCTAATGCCTGTATGACCTAATGGCCCTTTATCATCAGTATGTGTATTCATAGCATTATACCGCCTACTGACTTACAGGTAAAAACAGGGTAATACACAGGTAACAACATGGTACTCTGCTATGTGTACCTGCTCAGTGCTATTGTACAGATGGTCCCATATACATGCTAATGTGATTTCAAAACAAAGTCAGGTTGGGAACTTGATGATCTTGTATGTAAATATGGACACCAAAATGAGGCTCCATAATAGCTAAACAAAACACCTATCTGTTCTAGCTGATAAGTTTCCAGTGACTAGGGGCATTACACCTATCTGTTCTAGGTGATAAGTGGCCAGTGACTAGGGGCATTACACCTATCAGTTCTAGCTGATAAGTGGCCAGTGACTATGGCATTACACCTATCTGTTCTAGCTGATA